GCACCTCCTCATCACCATGTCCTCTTGGCCACCCTGGCTGTGGATGTTGCTCTTGGAGGCAGTGCTCAGGTCACACCCAGGTGCAGCCGGCTCAGCCTTGGGCACCTGCCAGCTCAGCCTCACGCGACCGGTGCCTCCCTTTCCTTAGATTGCTTTGGCCTGATGCAGGCATTTAGCCCTTGTCCCCGGCTGACCTGACAGGAGAGGCTGCAGCTGGCTTGGGCAGGACGGTGCCGCCATTCTGCCAGCAGCCGGCCTAGCAGATGGAGGCAGCTGAGTTGGTCCCCATGATGTGGGATCATCGCCAACTGGATGGAACGCCATGGCTGCCTGCTCCCCCACCCACCCCCGCCAGGGCAGGAAAACCCTACGGAGCTAAGGACCCATCAATGGAACTTATTTGCTCCATCAACACAACTGTCCTGCTTGCACAAAACACAATGAGAGGCTTTGCAATAGAAACAGGGCTGGTTTGTTTTAGGAGAATGCCTGTCAGCGAGCAGCTTCCTCTTTGATTCACCTGGCTGCTGGGGACACCCTCGTCTTAGGTGGACTTGTTAGCCTCCGGCTCACACACAAAACACAAGCAACACAGGCCTGCAGCAAAATCAAGCGGGCAGCCTGGCTTCCCGCAGTCCAGCCAGCCCCAAAGGAAAGGAGGAGGCCGCTCCTGGTTGAAGGCTGGCAGCGCAGCCCCTGCCAGAGACCCGCTCCGTGTCGGCTCTTGCGCGAGGCTCTCGGCATCCTGCAGCTGGCCCTGGGCACCCCTCGCGGGACCAGCTGATCCCCGGAAATCAGTAGGGCGTTGGCGGCCTCCTGCATTGGGAGGGCCCCGGTTCTCCCCTGCCCCTGCGCATTGGGCACCTCGACTGGGCTGCCCCTCCTTGGGGGTCCCCAGGACGGCCTGTCCCGGCGGCCACCCGGCTCTTTCCAGTGAATAGCAGGGAGGCGCCCCCGCCCCGTTTACCGTAAAGCGATGCTCGGCGTCTGGGGGAGAAAGGCGGAGCTCAGGGGAGGTAGCGCCGGGGGGGACGGCAGCCCCGGCTAGTCCGCGTGAGTGCAGGGCGGTGGCAAACGGCCGGGGGATGGAGGGCGAGGTGTGGAGCCGGGCCGGCAGGGGGGCTGCGAGGCTAGGCGCTGCTACGCAAAAGCTGGAGACTGTAGTAAGAAATTGGCCGCCTGTTCTTTCTAAAAGGGGGCCCTGAAACACGCCACGGCTTCCAGTTGCTTTGAGCGGGCGGGTCAGAAGCTCGTAGTGGGTGAATTCCGTCTCTGGTCCTGCAAATCCGGTTTCTCTGCAAAAGAATTCTACCCGCACTTCTGCTCTAGGTTAGATACCTCCTAATGCTTTTATTTAGATTTATTTTACTCCAGCAACTTCTAGAATCCAGGGGTGCTTTTAATTGCTTCCTCTCTGCTCCCCAGAAATGAGTTCATTAAAAGGAAACAAATGTTTGCCTTCCTCTGGAGCCAAGCCGTGTTCGCCGGTCTCTCTGTTCTAGAGCTGGCTGCGGAGTTCTGGGAGTTGAAGTCCCAGAAGTCTACAAGTCTTACCGGTAGTTGCCAAGTTTGGGGAGTCCTGCTCCAGAGAGAGAGGAGAATTCTGCAGAGCCGAAGCGGTTTCCTCTGGCAGCCAAGAGACCCAAAGGGCAGATCACATCTGGCCTTGCAGGATCTCAGCTGAGCCCTCTGAAAGTGGCCCTTGAGTCTGGGCAGAAACTGTCCAGGGTCCTCTTGGGTCCACAAAGAACCTTTGAGGCCGAAGAAGCTAAAATTGCACATGTAGGTATTTTGCACAAAGCTCGGGGAGAATCCAACAGCAGCCCTCTTCTTTTTCTGAAGAGCCTGGAGAGGTGGGAGGAGGGACAAGCACTTTGGGGGGGGGATACTCCCCACAGCCCCCACAGCTGACGCACTTGTGTACACACCTCCACACACACAAAGGGGATTTCTCAGGATGGGGCTGAGCAGAAGCCCTGTTTCTCCAACAGGGCATCCTGGGAGTGTCAGTCTGCCCTGCTGAAAGCCCCGGATCCTATCACCTCCTCAGCCATCGGAGGGCCCTGTCCTGGATGCCACCTGCCCTGTCCCCTGGCAGACCACCCTAGCCCCTGCTCTCCTGCCCTCCGCTGCTGAAGGAGGCGGAAAGAAGAGGCCACAGCTGCTCAGGGAGACCTACTGAAGCCCAGTCTGTCATCTGCAGCCTGGCTCGGCAGGGAATCCGAGGAGGGACCTTGCAGTGCCCCCAGCCGGCATCCTCTTCCTTGGCTTGCCTCCTCAGGAGCCTGGCCTCTGCACCGACCGTGCTCTTTCAGTGCTGGGCGGCCCACGGAGGTAAGGCAGGGTCAGCTAAGTCTGAGAGGCTGCCTTCGCACCAGGCTCCAGGGCTGCACAGCTCCTGTGTGCTGGGCCTCCCCCGGGAGAGTCTTTGGTTTGCATCAGCTGCTTGGGGAAGGATCATGGGCATCAGGCAGGGAAGCTTGCGGCTGGGCTGATTCTGTGCCCGGCACACGGGGAGATCCCTGGAGGCCGACAAACACCGCGGTAGCTTTGCACCACATACCTGGCCTGATCGTGATGGGGCCGCAGGCATTGTGCGAGGACAGCCGATCATGGTCTGCTGCATGATGACTTGAACAAAACTGTTGGTTGGTTAACTGGGATTCGATCCAAGGCAGAATTCTTATTCGGGTTCAGCCTCTTCAGCCCAAAAAATCCATTTGTGCCATCAGGGAAGTGCGAAGATCATTCTAGACTGAAGGATTGAAGCCTCTTCCTTCTGAATAAATTTACATTTCCAGGGAATTTGCCAATGGCCTCTAAACAAACCCTTATGTCGGTATTAAAAAATAAATCCTGGAAAATTGGTAAAGGGTGCGTGTGTGTTTAAAAAGAGGGCTGTCCACTCTGAAGCTCATATCTAAACTCCAAAGCAGACCATGGACAGCCTGAGTTAAAAGCACCTTGAAAACCAGGTGGATTTGTCAAAATGTTGCCAACTTGTCTTACCTTTTAATAGGCAGCAGGCAAATATCTTTTGATTCTAATTTCCTAAATACCAGAAAAATTCTGGGAAGAATTATTAAGCAGCTGATCAGTGGGGCATTTGGAAAAGAACCACATTTGGCCAAAGGCCAGCATCAGGAATAAATAGTGCCAGCCACTGAGGAGTGATCAGGTGAGGTGAGTAATGGCAAGGCAGTGGGGCCTTCAGCACAGCCATCAGCCCGGCCTGGTACAAAATGCATGGAAGAGGATGTGGTTATGCCGGCTGAACTCTGCTCCCTTCCCTGGAGAGGGGGCCAGTTGAACAAACTTAGCCCAGATTGAGCCCAGGTGGTCTGTGCCCGATTGGAAGGAAGGGGGGGGCAGAGGTGGGGGACTCTCTTCTACATCCTGTGCTGCTCTGCTGGGATGCAGAGGTAGAAAGCCGGATTATCCCCCGGGTGGAGTATGGAGATAGGGAGGGCTGGGCATCCTTCCCACTTCAGGGATCTTCAGAAGGCCTCTGAAGACCTTTTTCACCAGGACTCCGAGGGTTTGCCCCAACCCTCTGGGCTAGCGACTTTCTCAGTGGCTAAGGCTGCAGAAGAGGCCTCCGTGGCGATGCTACCCTCTGCCCACCCAGCCACCCAAAGCTGCCTCACAGGAGGGACACACACACACCACAGTTCACAAAGCTGCCCGAGGCAGAGGTGGGCAGGAGCCAAGGCATTTGGCCATCTCCACGCTCTCCTTCCCTTGCTCCGGAGGCTGCCATGGAAGCCGGCGTCTCTTTCCTGCCTCCTCCGCCCTGGGCAAAGCTGCGGGACGCCTCCGGGACAAAGTTCAGAGACGCCGCTATAAATAGCCCGTTTCTCCGCAGCTATTTTTAGCTCCCCGAGAGCTATAATTACCTTCTGCTGCTGCCCAGGCTGGCTGGCGCTACCGCCGGTCGCCCAGGGAGGGGCCGGGAACGGCGGCCAGCGGTCCGCTGCTTCTAGCCGGGGCGAGGAGGGCCGAAGACCGCAGGCAGGGTGTGGACTGTGGAGGGCACCGCCGGTGGGCAGCTGGCTAGGGGGCCGCAGAGCGCCGGAGACCGGCGGCGAGGATTTGGCTCCGCGGCTCTTTGGAGACGGGGGCTGGGAGCCTATGCGCTCCCTCTGTCCTTGCTCCCCTTGGCCCGAGGCTCTCCCCTGAATGAGAGCCAGCCAGGAGGGAAGGAAAGGAGGCAGCGTCGGGTGATCGTTCTTCTCTTCGCCCCCCCCCCCGGGCTTTGGAGAGGAAGTGTCGGGCCTGGATGCCCGCAGAGTGCCGTGTAACCAGCCCCCAGCCGCCCCACTGCAGAAGCCACTGAGCTCGCTCTGTGTGTGTATAAGGGCTTCTCCTCCTCCCCCACCCTGGACTGACATGGCAACCAGGTGGATGCCATCCCACCCTCTATGCGCTCTACTCTTGGAGGGTGGCCCTCAGGGCAGACCAAGGTCATCCTGGGGACCTCTCCACCCCAGGTGCACCCAAATGGCTGAACGCCCATCCCTGGTTCTCTCTCACACACACATTGGCTGATTCCAAGAATTTTACACCTCCCCCCTTTCCCCCTTAGGGCTGGTATTCATGTCCCGTTTGTCTTGCCTTGAAGATGCCGACCACCCCTTCCTTTAGGACAGGCGGCCACTTTAGGCTCATTTGAGGGTCTGCTTTTCTTTTCCTGCTCCTCACCCTTATTCTGCCCTGTATTTGGCTGGCAGAGGCATTTTGTGGTGGGCAGGGTCTCTTCCCGCCTCGCGTGAGCTGTTGTGAGCAGGGCCTCCCCTTAATGGCACCTTGGAAGCCCTTCAGAGGAACTGAGGAGCCCAGTAGGTGGATGCTGGACAGAACCCCCCCCCCCCCCTCTTCTCCTCTGTTCCTATGCATGGCAGAGCCCCCCCCCCCCCCGGAGAATGCTGCCCCCCCCCCAAGACGAGATTACGGAGCAGTGCCTCAGGAGAGCTGCCTTCCCAAGTCGAGAAAAAACAGAATTTCCAGCAAAAGTGAGGTTTTATTCTTTGACTTATCAATTGACTTTTTTAAAACAGAAACCTCACATGTTCAGTACTAGCAAGTCAGTCAGTCCAGGGCACAAGGGAGAGGAGCTGGTTATAAAAGGGAGTGGCAGGAATTAGCAAGAAAAGATGACCAGACACGACCTTTCCCCCCTCCCCCGTTATAAACCTCCCTCTTTTTGGCAACAGGAATAGAGTTTGGCAAATAAGAACTATGTTCAGCAGGCTTTTTCCAAAAACTGAATCAATCCGTTTGTCACTTTGGTGAATTAAAAAACAATTGAAAGAGTTTAACACAAGGAGGGGAATGCCCCCCCCTGTGTGTGTACTGTATAAAAGGTCCAGGTTCCCAGAGAGGAGAGGAGAGGAGGGTGGCCCTGGGTTCAAGGGCGGACAGAGCGGGAGGGCTTGCATATCCATGGAAGAGGCAGAGCTGAAAGCAGGGAAGACCCACCCACGTGAATGGGGAAGCAAATGCAAAGGGGGTGGGGATGGCGGAGGCTCCTGGGCTGGGATTCCTGGGGGGGGGACTGCCCAGTGCCAGATTTAGGCATAAAACAAATAAATTTAGGGCCTCACAAAATTTCAGAATTTTTGTTGTTGCTGTCTTTTAGATTTTCTGTGGCTTTTTGTGCGTGCTGTATTTTTAAAAATCTTGGGTAGCAAAATTGTATGCATAATTTTACAAAGACTTTAGGTGTAAGTGATACTTTAAGGCCAAATGTTCTCAACGGTACCAGGAAGAGACCATCAGAGAGCAGATGCTCCGCCTTATTTTTGCGATGACCCCAGGGTGGGGGCTGCTTGGCACTCACTGGGGGGGGCATCGGGTGTGGCACAAGAAATCCAATGGCTGAGCCTTCCAGGAGAGCAAGGGGGCCCTAACCCTGCTGCCTGGGAGTCCCTGGAGATGCCCCACTCACTTCTGGGCAAGGGGAAAGGAGCACCAAGCTGCTGGCAGCCCTGCAGCTTCTCTGGCTTTGCACTAGGAGGAACGGGGGGGGGGGTGCTAATCCCATTCTATCCCCCCAAGCTTCCCCAGCCTCAAAAACAAGGCCTCATTCAGCCCAGCCTGGAGAAGAACAGTTCTCAGTCCTTGGAGGGAGGAGCTCATTCTGGACAGCAGATTCTCCGTTAAAGAAGCTGACACAGTGCCCCCCCCCAGCACTCCTATTCCCTCATCCAACCTGCTGGCATCCCCAGGACTCTCCAGGGACCTTCGTCCTCCATTCTGCTCTTTGGCCACTGGTTCCTCTCTCGGGGAGAGCCGGGACGGGTGCAACCAGCCAGGGCACAGCCCTCCCCAGCTTTGGCACCAGTAGGGTCTGTGGCACTCGGCAGGAGGGTCCACAGAAGAAGCCCTCCTCACCCCACCTGGCCTGGAGGAAGCACTGCCTGCAAGTGTCCCTGGGGAGCCCAAGGGGCGGGGGGGGCACTGGGGGGGGAGGGAGGGTGGGAGGAAACTCTACATGACAATCGCGGAGGTGGTGGGTATGATGGAGAGCACCCCAAAGGAGAAGTCGATGTGAGAAAGAGAAGGCATTTCTGCTTGGGAAGCCCACTCCTCAACAGTCCAGGACGGGCAACTGCAGGAAGGGCCTCTGGCAGCGGTCTTTGCCTGCCTGACGTGGTCCAGGTCTCCACCCGAGGGGCATCCTCAGTGCTGGACAGACCAGCTTCCTAAGCGGTCCCCATCCCAGGACGGCCCCTCAATCCTGGCCTTGCGCCCTCCTGACTCCCGGGCTCGGAATTCGGTCATCTGCCGGACAGGACAAAGGGCAGGGCGAGGCCCGGTTCCCCCCCCCTTGTGCTGGGTGGAGATCAGGGCTGGGGGATGCGCCCAGCCTGGGGATGGGTGGGGGGTGCGCCTGGCTATAGGAGGGTGCACGGCTTCTTGTCCTTGAAGGGGTTCTCCGAGGTGGGGACGCCAACAAGCAGGGGATCGTTCCTGGCCTGCTGCTCGCAGTAATTCATCAGCTCCAGGGAGGCTTTGGAGACCTGAGGAGGGAAGCAGCCACGTCAGCCAAGGGCGCCAGCAGATGGCAAGCGGCCGACTGGCCTCCGCCGGCCCTTTGAAGTCCAGCCTGCTTGGCCGCAGCCAATTTTAGCCCAAACCAAGGAAAAGGGAGAGACCACGCCCACTAATTCTCATTTCCAACCTGCAGCAGGATCCCCCAACATCCCCCTCACATTCTGGAAGGGGGGCCTGACATTCTGAGGGGGGGGAGGCAAGGGCAGACCCTCTTCCCTTGCACAGTTGTCCCTAGTTTCTGGCTTTCCCTGTTCCTCAAGAGACTCCCCTCACCTCCAGAGAAGTGGGCCAAGACCAGGCTCAGCCACCCCCCCTTCCCCCCCCACAGCCCACAGGGAATAATGGCAACGCTAAATGCAGCTGCACTGAAACTCTTCCAAGAACCAGGCTCTGGAGGGCGATTACAAGAACTCTTCCTCCCTGCCTCGTTACCGTCTGATTCATAGCCTCTGATCATGTGCAGAGGCATTCTTGGGCCAAGGAACAACCGAGGCATGCAGGCCTCCGAGCTAAAAGGTGCTCTCCCTCTTCGGAGGGTGGGTGCAACATCCCTGCCTTGGGATGAGGGCCCAGAGACCCTCCCCCACTGTGGTGCTCTCAGAGGCCGCACTCTGCTTGCAGACCCTCCGTTCCCAGGCTGCTCAGAGCACCAGGAACCCACAGCTTGACCTTGAGCCAGAGGTTGCCTTCTATCTGTCCCCCTCCCCAATTACCAGGGCACCTGTTGCTCCCCTTTGCGTGCTTCCTCTCTCTCTCTCTCTCACACACACACACACAGAGGCTGCCTCCCCAGAGCCCACCTTGATCCTCTCCATTCCGGCCTCAATCCGCAGCTGCTCCACCAGCTTCCTGGCCTGGGCGATGTTGTTAGTGGCCGACATTGTCTGCCATGGAGGGGGGGGACATCCACCAGCACCTGGATGCGGGGAGAGAAACACCAGAGAAGGGGACACTTGGTTCCTGACCCTGCTCTGCCCCTCTCCGGGGGTGGAACCGGGCAGAATTGCCCCCTCCTCTCTTTGGAGACAGGTGCCCCTTCACTGTCAAGCTCAGGGTGGCAGTGCTACAAGCTGCCCTGGGGAGGGGGGCTTCAGCTGAAGGGAGTAGCCGCCTGACAACTTGACTTTCCTGTGTACCTGGGAAAAAGGCCCAAAGTCCCCAGAGCAGCTTTTTAGAAGCGGAGGCGCCCTGTGCACACAATCCTCCCCACCCCCGTGGATGGAGCCCATGGTCATCTCGGCTCCTTCTGCAGCTGCATGAGGGCCCACAGCTCTTCACCAGATGAAGATGAGGAACCTCCTCAGGCAGAGGCAGTCTATCTCAAGAAACCAACTGGTAAATGGGATTGAGAGGTATTCCGAGGCATCTGGCTGGCCCTTCCCTGCAAAGAGAAGCTGCAATTGTCTGTCTGCAGGATGAGACCAAACTGGCTCCTCGGCCGGAAAAGCCCCGAGGGGGCTGCTTCGTGGGTCCCACTTGGCCTCAGAGTTCAAAAGAAACAAGCTGCGCCCCAAGGCGGACGGACCAACTATCGGGCTCTGCCGGAGTTCCCGGCGGGGCCTCCCCGACTGACACCCTCTTCTTTCAGGGGCGGCCCGCGCGAGGGTCTTCCGTTCCTCCTGGACGGGGCTGCGAGGCGAGAAGGGGCTTCCAGAGCAAGCCAGGGAAGGTCCCGGGGGCGGAAGGCAGAGCAAGGCGAGACCCCCTGAGAAGCCCCCCTCCATCCACTGCCGGGGGGCTCCCCTCCCTCGGCTGCTTGCTTCCTTGCGAGGTCCTGGCCCGAATGCCTCGCCCGGGGGAGGGCAGAGGCCGCACGCTTGTTAGCGGCTCCCGGGGCGCCACCTGCAGCCCTCCGGCCGGCCAATCGCCTACTAGCCGGCAGGGGACCCGCGGCCGCCTTCCCCCTCCCCTCCGCTCCCCCATAAAGCGGGCCCAGGTGCGGCCCCTCCCGCGGAGAGCGTCGGCCGAGCAGGACGCCGCCGGAGATGGCGGGTAAGAGGCCGCTGGCCGAGCGGGGCGCGCCCTCCCCGCCCGGCCCCATGGGACCTGGAGTCCGCTCCCCGCCTCCCTCCAGCAGGCTCTCTTTCTCGGCGTCCGCAGAGGCCTCGGCGGCAGCCCGCTTCTCCAAGGGCCGCTATCCGCCCACGCTGACCATGGTCACCGAGGCCGTCGGGGCGCTCAACGAGAGGAAGGGCTCTTCCACCGCCGCCATCAAGCGCTACATCCGCCACAACTACCCCGGCGTGGACCCCATCCGCCTCAAGTACTACCTGCGCAAGGCTCTGCTCAAGGGGCTGGAGAAGGGCTACCTGGTGCGCCCCCTCAACTCCTCCGCCCAGGGGGCCACCGGCAGATTCAAGGTGAGGGAGCCCCCCTGCCTAGTCGGAAGGGGCTTGCCCCCTGCAGGGTCCCACTCTACCCCTCCCCTTGTTCAGCTACTGAGTCACCCCCTGAAGCCCACAAGAAGAGTTGGGGGCAGGCTTATTGTTCTCTAGGGTTCCTGATGGCCACAGCCCCCTGGACACAAGGGGGCATGGGGCTTTTCTGCCCAAGCCCCATGTGGCTCCAAACCCTTCTTGTAGCCCTCATCACCTGTGCCTGGATGCCCACCCACCCACTTGGCTTCCTGGGGAGACCCTAAAGGGAGCCTTCTCCCACCCACCCCTTCCTGCTTGGCTATTGAGCATCGGGAAATGCCAGCCTTGCCAGGCCCTTGCCTGGACCATCCATGTGCCACGGCTGAGAGCATTTTGGTCCTGCGGGAGATGCCAGCCTCTCCTGCTTGGACCTGGCAGAGTCTGGCCTGCAACCGCAAAGGCTTTGGAGGCCCTCTGAGTGCCCCACTTGGCATTCTCCCTCTTGCCCCCTGATTTTGCAGTTGGCAGCCCTAAAGCCCAAGAAGGGAAAGGCGAAGGGGGCCCAGCCTGCCCAGGGGGAAAGCCCACCCCCAAAACCGGAGAAGAAGGCGGAGGGCAAGCCGAGGGTCGAGAACCCCAAAGGCAAAGGTAAGGGCTCTCCCTTCTCATGCACCATCCGCCTCCAGAGACTGGAGGGCTGGGGAGGATGGAGGGTTGAGGTCCCATGGCTGCACTGATGGGTCTGGCAGCTGAGGGCCCCGGGGGCCCGTTCTTCGTCTTGTGAGGTCCCGGCTGCAGCTTCTGCCTTGATGGAGGTCAGCCCAGTGGAGAAGGTGCTCATCCTGGTTCTCCCAGCAGATGCCAAGGGCAAGGAGAAAGCTGCCAAAAAGAAAGCCAAGGCTGAATCCGACCAGGTAGGTCCTCCAGGGGAGGGGGGCTTTATGTAGGCAGCCCCAAGCAGTGGGGGCAGCTCAGCCCTTCCCACATCGCCCAAGGCCTTGGGAGGGAGGTTTGCCTTTGGGCAGGAGAGAGTGACTTCCCCAAAGTCCAAGAGTTGCAGCCCCCTCCCAGCTGTTCCAGTGGCCCCTTCCGGGGCTCTGCCCCCTGGCCAAAGCTGACTCAGGGTAGCATGTCTCTTGCCCATCACAAAGGCCCCAGATCACGACAGAGCCAAGATGGTGCCCTCTGGGGGGCTGTATCTGCTCCCCAGTGAGCCAAGAGATTCGGAGCTGGCTCCCCCCCCCCCCCCCCGACTAGTACAAGGCCAAGCGCATCCATCTCCCTGCAGGTCCTGGCTGCAGACCCAGTGAAGCAGAAGCCGAAGGAGAAAATGGCAGCCGAAGGAAAGGCTCCCAAGAAGCCGAGGCCCCCCAAGACCCTCCAAGTCAAACTGGCAAAGGCCCCCTCCAAGGCGCCCCCCAAGGGAGAAGCCAAGACAGCCACCAAGGGCAAAGCTCGTCCCAAGGCAGGAGCAGAAGATGAGGCTGAGCCCCCCGTGGGTGAGCGAGTCAAGGTGGCAAGGGGGAGCCAAGCCAAGAGCCAGGCCGGGCCCCCCAAGGCCAGAGCCCCCAAGGCCGGAGCCCCCAAGGCCGGAAAGAAGGCGGTGGCCAAAAGCAAGGAGAAAGAAGCCGAGGGGGGAGCGGGCCCAAAGAACGCCTGAGGTCCACGGTGGCCATTGTCAACCTGTAGTGCGATGCAGGAGGGCACCCCAGCTGCCTCCCAATGGCTGGCAGCCCCTGTCATGGAAGGAGGCCGATGGGGGCCCCCCCAGGTGGAAGGCTGGGCAGTTTTAACAGCATTTTAAGCAGTCAGAGATGTTTTTCAATAAAGGTGTAATATTTGGCAAGAAGCAAACACATGGGCTGTTCCTGATTCTTGGCTGCAGTAGAGAGAAGCTGGGCTGAAGGAGATTCGACATTCCCAGCTCCTGACTCGAGGGAGGAGGAAACACCCCCCCCAGCAGATAACCTTGCACCTGCTCAGCCACAGGTGGGCCATGCACGCCACTCACTTCCAGCTGTTTGTTTTAGGAGCTGCCTTGCTCTAACATAGGCATTTTTGAGCAATGCTTTTGTTTGCAAGCTTCATTGTCTCAAATTATACTTTAGCATAACCTTTTCAGTAACAGAATTCTTGAACATAACTTTAGTTCCAAGGATGTTCTTGAAAACTCTTGAGTCCCGAGAGTCTGCATCCAGTTTTGGTCACCACAATATGAAAAAGGTGTTGAGGCTTTGGAAAGAGCGCAGAGAAGAGCAGCAAAGATGATTAAGGGACCGGAGGCTAAAATGATGAACAGCTGCAGGAATCTGGTATGGCTAGCCTAGAGAAAAGGATTAGGGGAGACCTGATAGCAGCCTTCTAATATTTGAGGGGCTGCCCTCAAAAGAGGAGGGGGTGAAAGCACCTGAAGGCAGGACAAAAGCAAATAGACTCTTTCCCACAGAAAACACCTGGAGCCACAAAACCTGGGTAGGTGTGGGGGGGAGGGGTGTTCATGTGACCGGGTGGGAGTGAGTGACATCGAGTTGGCCACGCCCACCCAGGTTCTGTGGCTTCCTGTGTGCTGTTTTCTGTGGGAAATGGGTCCAAATGGCTCTGAGCATTTAAGGTTGCAGACCCCTGGTCTAGGGGTTGGACTAGAACACCTCCAAGGTCCCTTCCAACTCTTGTCATTCTTAGAGTCAAGCTCGCATTTTCTTCAGAAAGTGTAAATTTAGTCTTCAGGGTTGCGAAATAAAACCACCCCGTTTCCCAAAGGTTTCTTGCAACTGAGCGACTCTGCTGCCTGGATTCGGGGGACAGGCGCCCTTTGGGAGCCCCAGCTGGGGAACGGGGCACCCTTCACCCTGCAGCCTTGGGACTGGGTGGATCTCTTGGCTTTGTCTGGAGTCATGCTGAGCAGAGATCTGGGGCGGCTTCCAGATCCTCTCACGGTCACAGGATCTGGTTGGGGCTGTGCTTGTAGCAGCTGAGCCCCACACAAGGCGCCCCCTCCCAACTCCCCTCCTGAGTGGGTTGGAGGCACCTGGAATTATTGGCACCTGGGAAAGGCAGCACCAGCGCCCATTCAATTTGGGATGGCAGAGAGCCTGGGATGTCCATCAGGGCTGGGAAAAAAATGTAACTTGGAACTTAAACTCTTTTTTTGGGTGGAGGGGGAGCCGACACTGGCAGCCCTTGAATTACTTTAAAGCAGCGATCGATCGTGTCTCCTCTGCAGACTCAACGTGCCAAGCCGCCAAAACCTCTACCACGGTGTCTCCTCCCTCTCCTCTGCCCACCCCGGTTTGCCAGGGTCCCTCCTATCACACAATGCTGTGAACGGGTTAAAGCCCCTCCCCCCCCCCGGGCCCAATGAGGACTAGAGACTGCTAACTCTGGGTATCTGCAGATGCTGTCCAGGATGGCCCTGGCATCTTTTGAAGCAGCCTGGCACGCCTGGCTCAGGTTCAGCTTGTGATTCACCCACACCTCCCCCCCCCCCCCCCCCCCCCCCCCCCTTTCTCGCTTCCCCCCCCCCCCCCCCGCCCCCTCACGCTGCCCTCGGGGTGATCCATCTTTGCCTTGGCGGCAGATCTGGCACTCCTTCGGCCTGACATGGCACAACAGAGGCTGTAAACGGAAGAGCCGTTCCCGGGAGCACCTTGCCAAAGGCCGAGAGGCTCCTCAGGTCCCTCGCCCGGGAGCCAGAGCCAGACGGATTCAGCAGCTGGGGAAAAGGAGGCCGGGCAGGCAGGCGGCTGCTCTTTGCAACCCCCGGAGCTCCGGACTCCCTCCCAGCCCTCCTGGGAAACGCAGCAACAGCCACCGGCGCTGCTTTCTCACAACCTGGCCGACGCCAGCGAGCATTTCAAGCGGCTGCACGCACCGGGCCAGCTTCCAACCTGGCCCCTGGGCACGTGCGTGCCTGGCGAGGTCTCTGTGCAGACGGAGAGAGACGCAGCGCTGGCAGCTGCTCCCATCGCCGAGCCTTTCCCACGGCCACAGCACCGGCAGTTGCTTCAGAGGCGTGCTGCCAGACCGTGGGCCCCGATTCCCCCCTCAGCAGCTCCCACCAGGCAGCATGGCTGCCCTCAACAGCCCTGTGAGGCAGGACAGACCAACTCCTGAGCTCAAGGTTCCAGAAGAGCAGCTTCTAATGGAAGCGAGGCTTATTTAGTTAGTTAGTTAATTTTATTTAATTATTTAATTTTATTTTATTTTATTTAATTTATATACCGCCCTTCTCCCAGAAGGACTCAGGGCAGTGTACAGCCAAAATAACACAGATATAAAATTTAAAAAACAATTTAAGAAATATTAAATAATTTGGCCCATATCTAATTAAAATAAAACTACCCGTTTTGGACATTTAAAAATTAAAAGTTAATGATTAAAAATTTAAAAATTAGGCCAGCCCAGCTTGTTGGCATAAAAGTGTCTTGAGGGCCCGGCGGAAGGTGCGTAAATTGGGAATCCTCCGCATCTCTGGGGGCAAATCGTTTCAGAGGGCAGGAACCCTCACAGAGAAGGCTCTCCCCCTGGGGTCGCCAGCCGACATTGTTTGGCCGACGGCACCCGGAGGAGCCCCTCTCTGTGGGAGCGAATTGGCCGGTGGGAGGCTATTGGTAGCAGAAGGCGGTCTTCTAAATACCCAGGTCTAAACCATGGAGTGCTCTGAAGGTGGTAACCAATACCTTGAATCGCACCCGGAGGACCACCGGAAGCCAGTGCAGCTCGCGCAGGAGAGGTGTTACATGGGAGCGCCATGACGCTCCCATAATCACCCGCGCGGCTGCATTCTGGACCAGTTGGAGCCTCCGGGTGCTCTTCAAGGGGAGCCCCATTAGAGAGCATTACAGTAGTCCAGGTGGGAAGTGACAAGGGCATGAGTGACCGTGAGTAGGGAGTCCCGATCCAGAAAGGGACACAACTGGTGGATCAGGTGAACCTGATAAAAAGCCCCCCTGGCCATGGCCATCACATGTTCTTCTAAGGACAGCCGTGCATCCAGGAGGACACCTAAGTTGTGAGCCCTCTCCATGGGGGCCAACGACTCGCCCCCAATAGTCAGAGATGGCACCAACTGACTATATCGGGATGCCGGGAACCACAGCCACTCGGTCTTGGACGGGTTGAGCTTGAGCCTGTTTCTCCCCATCCAGATCCGCACGGCCTCCAGACACCGGGGCATCACGTTAAGGGCATCATTGGGGTGGGCTTGCGCACAGGGGTCTTCTGCCCCAGCCCATTGCCCCCTTGCTTGGCAATAGCAATAGCACTTAGACCAGTGGTGAAATCTAAAATTTGTTACTACCGGTTCTGTGGGCGTGGCTTGGTGGTGGGGGGGGGGGGGGGGTAATGTGACGGTGGGCGTGGTCCTTTTTTTTTTTTTTACTTTTAAAACCAAGGTGCGGCCCGTGTCCTGGGTTGCAGAGAGTCTCAGGCCCTGGGTCCTCGGCTGATGCTATGTAACGCCGGGTCGGTAGTTAATAAAGCCCCCCTCATCTGTGATCTTATTATGGAGGGGGGTGCGGACCTGGCAGGAATTACAGAGACCTGGTTGGGCAAGGAGGGGGGCTTCCCCTTGTTGAAATGTGCCCTCCAGGTTTCTGTGCATTTCATCAGCCGCGGGCTCAGGGGAGGGGTGGGGGAGTAGCGGCAATTATTAGGGAAAGTCTTTGTCCGAGGGAGGCCACTGTTCCTCAGATAGCCGGATGTGAGTCCCTTTTTGTGAAGTAGGGTCGTGGGGTGCAGATGGGTTTGCTACACCTGGCTCCCTGCCACGTGGCGGCGACTCTGCCTGAGCTACTCGACGTGACTGCTGGGGTGGCGGTGGATACCCCCAGACTTATTGTCATGGGGGATTTCAACCTGCCATCCGCCGGTGAGGCGTCAGAGGTGGCTCGGGAGTTCGGGGACACACTCTGGACTTGATTTTCATCTCTGGTCAGTGTTTGAATGAGCTTGATAGAGGGGACTTAGACATCAAACCCTTGTCATGGACAGATCATTCCCTCCTTCACTTGGACTTTCAAGCCGCTTCCCCCCACCGCAGGGAGACGGAACCTACCAGATGGTTCTGTCCCAGGTGCCTGATGGACCCTGAAAGGTTCCTGATGGAACTTGGGCCGTTTCCTGAGACCCTGGCACACGACTCAGCCGAAGACCTGGTGGCCACCCGGGATAGTGCGGCCGCCAGAGCTTTGGATTGCGTCGTGCCTTTGCGGCCTCTGACCCGATGCCGATCTCAATTGGCTCCTTGGTTCTCCGAGGAGCTGAGAGAGATGAAGCATCAGAAAAGATGTCTAGACAGCATCTGGAGGACTAGTCAATCCGAATCTGACCAGACACAGGTGAGGTCTTATATCAAGGCCTACCTAGTGGCGATAAAAGCGGCAAAATCTAACTATTTTTCCGCTCTTATCGCATCTGCAGAGAACCGCCCAGCCGCTCTGTTTAGGGTGACCCACTCCCTTCTTCGGGGGGGAGTGCGGGAAGATCCCTTGCAGGGTCGAGCTGAGGATTTTGTGCAATTCCTGCATGATAAAGTCGCTCGGATTCAGGAAGGCTTGGACTCTGACTCGGTGAGTCCGGGGAGGGAGACGGGGATTGGTCTTGAGAATGTTATGTGGGAAGAGTTTGACCCTGTGACTCCCGAGGACATGGACAGGATTCTGGGAAGGCTTAGTGCTGCCACGTGCTTATTGGACCCGTGTCCTTCCTGGTTGGTACTGGCCTCCCAGGAGGTTACACAAGGCTGGCTCCAGGGGATTATAAATGCTTCTTTGAGTGAGGGTGCCTTTCCCGCCACCTTGAAAGAGGGGGTGGTGAGGCCCCTCCTCAAGAAGCCATCCCTGGACCCGGCTGTA